GCCGTTGGGCTTGAAGAACGGCAGCAGGTGTGTGGCGGGGTGTTTCGTGGGTTGTGGAAGCAGGTTTCGTGGCTTTGGATGTTCTTACACCAGCAGCTGTAGACTTGCTTGGGGATCACACGATCCGAATCGGATCGTTTTGGATTTGTTGGACCAGCCGGACCGGTTTTGGAACGTTCCTGCGTGTGGCGCCGTGTTCCTCTCCAGGCACGACCGATCGGAGCGGAACGCCTCCCCGCGGAACGAGAGCTCCTCGGTGATATGAGTGTGCAGAGTATTTTTTCAACAATCTCAACACATGTCGTTTTGGACTTGGATTCATTTTGGATTCATCATTTGAATTGATGTTGGATTCATTCTTTTGTCGGTGCATGGTCTCTTGGCATCGGGAATCCATCCAGCTGGGCGTGTTTCGTCTCTTGACGCGTCGGCTTCGCCCGTCGGTTAGGCCCCAGAAGGGATGTCCTGACCAGTCGGCGTGTCCCAGCCACTTCCTGAGCTCTGAAAGGAACTGAAACGAAGGACACGGTCATGACCGTGCTAAGCTTGATACAAACTTAATCTATCTTATAATCAGATCCTATTATGATGCATTTTTCCGAATCTCGTTCCATTTTCTTTCCCAAACCTTGCTTCGTTCCTTGCTTGGTCACATGAGGCCTCTACCTCTGCTCCAGCGAGGATTTGTGACAAAAGTCGCCACCAACGGTGTGGCTCACCTCACTGGTCGGCTTGCCAGGACCACCGGTGCCACCGCCGGTGCTCGTGGCAGTGCCAGTGCAGGCCGATGGAAGTGTGAGAAATGTGGCATCCCTGACATGACCCGTCTGGGGACTGGCAGATTGACCTATACATTCAACGACCTTTTCATCCCTTTTCTTGGAACATTTTTGAACCACCCCAACGTGTGTCAATATTTCAACTGGATCGAAGCGGAGTCCGAGAATGTCTCCGCCCGGCTATCCAGGCTATCCCAAGCGACCCAACCAGACACAGCCAGGCCGTGAAAAAACGAAGACCCTCAGCATGGGGATGTCGCAAAAAAGTAGGGGCAGTTCACAGATGTTGAGTTGATGTGATCCACCCCAAACGGTGGAGTATTCCCATATATTAGTTGGAGCATGGCTTCTTCGAACCACAGTGCTGGTTAATCTCAACATTTGGATCACAGTGCTGGTTCTTGTTGGTTTAAGTGCAGTTCATACAGTGACTCTGTCTTCATAATGTCAGATGGCATGATGCATGTCTCCCTTCGCTCCGGTACAGTGCTCCGGTACAGTGACTCGAACCTCCGCTCCGTCGCTCCGCTCCCCAGGTCCGGTGATTCCACGCACGGGACGGGACCGGTCCGAGGCCAATCGCGAGAAGGAGGCAGAGTGGATGCGCCCAATCTTTGGAGATGGAATCATTGATATCTATTTATAATAACTATGTTCCATCTGTTTGGCTTTGCAGGCGGCGCCGGCCAGCAATTCAGGTGCTTCGGAATCGTTTTGAATTTGTGAGAAACTGAACAAGCTAACAAAAAAAGAACTGTTACATATATATATATATATATTATATGCCAACAAAAAACTGAGACCTGCAGCGGTTTATTGAGAGTTCGGACGCTGCGTCGGCCACGGCATGCCGATGAGACGGTCTAGACAGGACGATGCAACTCGCCGGTGCGGCCGACGACCTCTATAGCATCATTAAAGACTGCGGATGACGTTCTTTTTTGGTTCCTCAATTCCTCAGCGTTTGGAGTCTGCACCACCTTTCTTTTACTTTTTTTCAGCTGTCTTGAAGGAATGATGAAAAACTTCCAACTACTGAATCATCTTGACAGGTCTGATCATTTTGACCTTCTGTCTCTGTGCAAATCTCCAGTCTCGTCCCAGGACCGCCCCCTCCACCGCCAGCCCGGACCGCCAGCCGACCTTCGCACCGCCAGCCCGGACCGACCTCGACCATCACCCGAGGTGATCTGCAGGCGCAGCCGGCGAAGGCCTCGGCGCCCGAAGAGTCCGGGGCACCCGGGAAAAGGAGGGCAATGCCGGTAGGAAAAGGATGGAAAAGGTTGGAATCCTTTTTGTGGAAGTTCTAAGTCTTTTTCTTTCTTTCTTTCTTTCTTTTTTCCTTTTATATAGGAAACAAGGATGCTTGTTACATGTTTTTTTCCCAAAGGAATGGATATTTCTGGTTGATGAATTACATGGATTGCTGATCTGCGATCTCAAGAGCTGTTCCTCCAGGCCACATTCCTCCGCAGACCCTGAGGCACTGTGTCCATATCCTCGCGGGCCACAACGGCTTTGTTCAGTGTCTTTGTACGGTTGGGGACGTGCTCTTCACAGGATCTCAGGACAGACCGTTGCTGCAACTCACCTGTGAACAGCTTTCTTGAACTGCTTGATTCTCCAGGATTGCAACATCATGATTTGGGATCTGAACAATTTGCAGGCAGCTCTTGGATTGTGCTAAACTGCTATACCATCAAGGGCTGAGTTGAAGTGCTAGCCAAGCTACGCTTCAGTACTGCAACCCGTGGAGAGTCTGTATTTTGGATTCCTTCCATGCGAAGAAACAGTGGTACACCCTTCCTACACAGTGTAGCTTCGCACCTCTTTTTACTTCGAGCCCAATCAAACCACCTTCTCCAAGCTTTGAAACCGTTTTGCCCCCCCAAACACGACTTTTCATGGAACGCATCAGGCCCACCTCACTCCGCACCCTCAACCCGAAACCCAAGACTCCGGTTCGCCACACATCTCACAAACCGGTCCCGCTGAGTACATCGGCACTCTGCCTGGACATCGGGGCTTCGTCAAGTGCATGGCGGCCAGAGCCCAAGATGTCTGAGTGGCGTCCGATGCGTCGAGATGGTCGGTCGGTGGTGACCTTGGGAGCCTCAGCTTCGTTCACACCGAGGCCACATTGTCCCGGAAGCTTCTGTGCTCCGGATCTCAGGACGAGTGGGGAGTGGGGAGTAGGAGTGGGGAGTGGGAGTGGGAGGAGTGGGAGGAGTGGGAGAGGTCCGGAAGATTTGTCAGGACAAGACGATCAAGATCTGGAGTCTTGAGACCTTCTCGTCCACCAAGACGCTTTATGGTCATACCAGTGCCTTGGCAGAGAACACAGACTGGCATTTTTCCAAAGGCCTAAGGGGCATGTAAGGGCCTGACATGTGCAGTTGAGAGTTGAATATGCGGCAGCTGGACAGTCTCGTGATCTGTGAAACACGAACTGAGGTGAGGTTAACAGCCTCGTACTCTTTGAAGGCCTGGGCCTTGGCCCTCTTCCTATAAGCTATATCTTGGATCGTGGCAGTGTGAGAAGTACTTGACCATCCCAAGGCCGCCGATACATGTCTCGATTCTGAACCACTTTCGAATGGCGAACGACGTTGGCAGGTTCAGATGTGCTCGTCTCCGGTGGAGAGGAGATCCGAAGAAACCGAACTGGGCGGCGCCCGTTCTTGCGCCGTGGCCGAACGCCCGCGCAGAACGGAGCTGTTTGGGCTCAAATCCGAAAGCAAAAACAGGGCCAAGCCACGGAACGTCTCCGAGTGGGGCAGCCTCTATCGGCGACCTTCTGGTCGCTGAGGATTTTCCAGCTAGCCAGGTGGCGGACATCGTTCGCGTGTCAAGCCTTTCATGAGACGCAACACGTTGTCCAAACGATGTAGCAAGCGAAGCAATCGCTTCCCTTGGGAGCATGGAAGCGTGCTGAGAAACTCAGCGGAGAGCGGGGGAACCAAGGTCGCCGAGCGAAAGGGGGGGAACCAATGTCTCAAACATGTATCTAAGATATTAGGTTGGAGGCCATCGCTAATAGGTTGGAGGCTGTCGCTATTAGGTTAGATTCAATCTGGCATCTTCGCCTTACATCGGCTCGACGTTCGCTCGCGGGGAGCGAATGAAGGGGAACGTATACCGTATACCCTAACTACGTGTCCTCTGAAGCCCATTGCCGATGGATTCCCAAATGTCCCGGAGCTGCCCATGATGAAAGGGGTGCCCGGCTATCCGTTCCAAGTTTGAGGCCAAAGACCATGACGATGCAGTGGCTGAAGCCTTCCTGACAGTAACCAGGCCACGAGGAAAATAGAAGAGGTAATTTTCAATCGAGAGCAAGTCAGTCATTCTGGCGGAGAAAACCAGGTTGCAACCTGAGATATGTTTCCACAACTCATGAAGTTCTTCCACCGAATCGGCCGTTTTTCTTTTTTTCCTTTTGTGTGTTTTGTGTGGCTTCCCTCGGGTTTGAGTCTGAGACCGGTGTAGAGACCGCGACACAAGTACGGAAGGATTGTTTCCTTCGTCCACAACTTCTTAATTGGAAGGATGGGGAATGGGGGCGGAAGGTCGTGCTGTTTATTCCACGGCCTCGGGTCGCGGGCGTCGCGAGCGGAGTTTCGGACACCTCAAGCAAAGAGCAGGCTGTCAAGGCGGCTGCAATGAAATTGTTTTGTACAATCTTTCTGCTACTTTATTGAGTTCCACCAGTGCCTTCTCCGCTTAAAAATGGATGTTTTTCTTCCCTAAAAAGCCGGAAACCAAGATTCAACTCACGCTTCTTCAAAGTGCTGGATGAATCGAGATGGACTCTCTTCCCTCACAATGGGCAAAATGAGTATACACCACCAGAGTAGAGTCAAATCAAATTGCACATGCATTGGAGGGTTTGGGCAGTTGGTGGCAACTTTTGCAAACTTTGAAGCATGACAAGTGTTGTTCGCACAGAGGCAATCAGTTGAGATGACAGTGAAACAACATGAAACTGCTGGGTGTTTCAAATGCTGCAGAGATAACGCTCAGTTTGCGAGCGAGCTCAAACTCGCAGTGGTGGCTAGGTGAAGAGGTCAGCTTTCTTTTTCTTCGAGAAGGTTCAAGCCTCAAGCCAATATATGTGCCAAGCCTTGTGCCTTTCAAACAAGAATGGAAAGACATCGAACGTATATGACATATATGGATGATTAATTGACATATTGACATGTGACATAAAAAGCACCTTCGATGTCTGCGTCAATTCCAGAGAAGCGATTTGGCTCCAAGCGACGCGTCTCTTCGACCGCCATGGCCCGCACCAAGCAGTCGTCCCTTGGGCGAAGAGATTGCTTCTTGTTACTAGTAGCGATGGCCTCCACCCTAATAACGATGGCTCCACACTAATAGCAATGGCCTCCACCCTAACAACGATGGCTCCACCCTAATAGCGATGGCCTCCACCCTAA